GGAGTTTTGGCACTTTCTGTGTATGTGTGGGCAGGTCAGGAAGAAGCAAGGGATTCTACTGCTGCCGAAAGAGAACTATTGAGTCGTCTACCCAAAAAAAAAAAAAAAAAAATTAGAAAGATGATTTCCAAGCAGTTTGTACAGAGGCTTGTATTTAGTAGTGTATTTCAGTGTGTTGTAGCACTGGGAAGCGTGCAGTTTGGGAATCCAACCTACTGCTAGCTGAGATTCAGACTCAGCAGAAACCAGCATCAGTAGTTCTTCAAACAGCGGTTTCCGGCAGCACGAGCTCCTGAGTGGAGCTGAGGCTCCTCTGAATTATGAGGCAGGGGTGAGAAACACTCTTGGTGACCTTGCTGAAGGGAACAGCAGCTGCTGTAGAGCTCTAGAAGATGAGAAATGAGTGTGTTTGCTCCCTGTGTGCAGCACCTCTCCCGGGACTCCCAAACACGCGCTTTGGTGGTCCAGGACTGGGAGCCAAGTGTGGTGGGAAGAGCAAACCCAGCACAGCCTGAGCCCAGCTGCTGAAATCCCTGCGTGGGGCTGAACTACTGGAAATAATGTGTCACTGCCATGTACAAAGGTGAGAATTTGGCTCACCAAACTGTGGCCACCTGGGAATGAGGAGGCTAGTCCAGGCCAGCCATTTAGGCTCTCTTTGTCATCCATGGAGATAAACACATTCCAAGAGGATGCATCCTGCTCATCTTGGACACTGTTTAGGCAAGGGCCAAATTCAAAGCCAGCTTTCGTAGGCACAGAGCTGCAGACAGGTGAGCTCTAGAGCCAGCTTTGAAGGTTTCCTTGTCTTTCCTGGAGGCCAGGCTGGTCTCTATGGACACATCTTCCAGTTTTGGCTTGCAGTTCCCTCAAGCCACACCATTCTTAGCTTGACCTGCTGACCTCCATGTGCCCATCAAGTCCTGAGAAGCCCAGGGTAGTGGCTGCGGCAGGGTGACAGGGAACTGCTGGAGAGGGTACAGCAAAGGGCTATGAAGATGATGAGGGGCCTAGAACATCTCTCTGATAAGGAAAGGCTGAAGGACTTGGGTCTGTTTAGTCAGGAGAAGAGAAGACTGAGGGGGGATCTGATCAACGCCTATCAATACTTAAAGGATGGGTGTCAGGAGGATGGGGCCAGGCTTTTTTCAGTGGTGCCCAGGGACAGGACAAGAGGGAAAGGGCAAAAACTGGAACATGGGAAGTTATATCTGAACACGAGGAGGAACTTCTTTCCTGTGAGGGTGGCAGAGCCCTGGCAGAGGCTGCCCAGGGAGGTGGTGGAATCTCCTCCTCTAGAAACGTTCAAACCTGCCTGGACACGTTCCTGTGGGACCTGCTCTGGGTGGCCCTGCTCTGGCAGGGGGTTGGACTGGATGATCTCCAGAGGTCCCTTCCAATCCCATAGCATTCTGTGATTGTGTGTGCCAACTGTCTGTGGTGCCCCAGTCCATACCTGTCCTCCAGCACTGGTTGATGGCTCAGTGGTAGGAGCTGGTGTGGTGCTTGGGCATCTCTGTGTGACTTTCCCTGTCCCCATCCCATTCCCTCTTCCCTCCTGTTGTCTTTTACCTTCTGATCGCTGTATTCAAGTGGTTCCATGACGTGGCACTACAATAGCTGTGATTTAGAACATGGCCTGAGCTCTTACATAAAGCAATTGGGCACTTAAATTGTGGTGTTTGGGCTGTTCCTGGTCGAATGAGATAATGTTGCTCTTTGTGCTACACATCCCAATGTTATATTGCTGTGGTATTGGTGGCTGTTGTCATGGCTTGTTCCATGTGATTTTGAGAGGATGACAAACTTGTCTTTTGACAAAAGAGTAGTTGTGCTAAAATCCTCATGCTAAGACTCATCTCAGTCCTTTTTACTCAGGGCAGTAGCCGATCCTGACTGTGAGCTCTGTGCTGGTAGCAAAGGATGGGTGCTCCTTCGTCCCTGGGCTCTGCTGCAGCATCTGCCTCCCTGCTCTTGATCCTTCTTTGGTGGGCTTCTGGACCCAATGTGATGCCAGGGCATTAGAACACTTAGTGATGTCTGGAGTTGCTCTCGTATTTATTTTCTTTAGCTCACCAGTGGGCTCTGGTCATCTAGTGATGTACAATTGCTGCTTCAGTGCTCCCTGGCCAAGTCAGAGGGAAATCCGAGGATGGTTTTTGTTGGGAGCCAACTTGTGCCTTTACAGATGCCTGATCATCTCCCTCTTTGCCAGGCTCTGTTTCTGGCCCCTGAAGGGGTGATGAGGGCACGGAGTGTATGTGGACTCGTCCTCTGCCATCTGAGGACTCCAGCTGAGAAGTCACCTGGGAGAGGTCTCCATGCTACTGCTCTTCTGCCAGGGTCTCCTCAACGATTTGCAGCTCAGTTCAGTGGCTGGTCCAGAATGGAGACCCAGGGGAAAGATCTTCTCTAGCCCAGACTGCATCCACGATAGCCCAGCTGATCTGGGCAGACAACTGGGGCATGGTCAGGGCACCCCATATACCACCACACAGCTCTCTGCTGTGTTTCCCATCACCTCCTGCAGGAATGTGCTTATAGTTAAAGCCTTAATGTTCATGACACTTTCCTTTCTCACGTCCCATGGGAGAAGAGTCTCCTCTGGTGCTGAACTCTCCGCAGTTCCTTTTGCGAGTCCTGCTCTGAGGGCCTCCAGGGCACCCCAGCAAATCACCTGCATGGATTAACATCACAGAATCACAGAATCTTCTAGGTTGGAAGGGACCTTAAAGATCATCTTGTCCAACCGTCAACCTCACTGACAAAAATAGACACCCACACAACAAACAAGGAGCATCATCACTAAACCAGACCTCCCAGCACTACATCAACCCGGCTTTTGAACACCTCCAGGGATGGGGCCTCAACCACCTCCCTGGGCAGCCCATTCCAATGCCTGATAACCCTTTCAGTGAAAAAAATTTTCCTAATATCCATCTGAACCTCCCCTGACGCAACTTGAGGCCATTTCCTCTTGTCCTGTCGCCTGTGACTTGAGAAAAGAGACCGACCCCCACCTCTCTACACCCTCCTTTCAGGGAGTTGTAGAGAGCAATAAGGTCTCCCCTCAGCCTCCTCTTCTCCAGGCTGAATAACCCCAGTTCCCTCAGCCTCTCCTCATAAGACTTATTCTCCAGACCCCTCACCATCTTTGTCGCCCTTCTCTGGACCCACCAGGTCTGTCTTCAAGCTCTTTACCAAAGCCTCTCTCTGCGTGGCTACAAGAAGTCTCTGCTCCATTGTACGTGCAGTCTGTCACGGGATGGTGGGCATTGGTGTGTTTGCATCGGAGATCACCCCTCTCCATTTGGGGGGGGGGGAAAGGCAACCTTGGATGTGCACACAGCTTGAGAGTGCTTGGGCAAAACCTCTTCTTGGATTGCCAGACCCTCCTGCTGAGATAGGGGCTGCCTTTTCTCTCCCGTGCTTTGCTTTTGCACGCTCACCACCCAAGATGCCGCGAAATCACGGAACCCTGTGGTCACCCTCCTCCCAGCCTTGGCCAGGGGGCTCACATGGAGCACACGAGGTGGCTGAAGCAGGAGGGGTCCTGGTAATTTTAAGGTCTTTTTTTGAGTTTTCTCACATTGTTGCATGGCTGGGCACAGCATCCACCCCTCATTAGTTTCTCCTCCTGCATGAGCATTTGGCTTTTTTCCCAAGAAGGCCCGTAGTTGTTTTTCAGGCTCAGAGCCATCTTTTCCGACGGAATCCAGCAGGGACGATGGCCAGTAGCAAATCCTTAGGAAAGAGAATAAAAACAGGGCAAGCCTCAGTGATTCTAACCCTGATTTAGCTTCTGGGCGTCTAGCAATCTGCGGCTGGGGGATTTCCTGAGCCAAAGGTTTTACACCACGGCTTCTTAAATCCGAAGGTATCTTTCTGTTGTGAATATATCCAATTGGTTTGGTATCCACGGCAACTCACGGCTGTGACTTGTACAGTTTAATTATGTTGGGTGGAAAAAAAACACAGCCTTTTGTTACAAATCTTTAAGCTAATAGCATCTGATGCTCTGTCGTTCCAGTATGTGTATATGCACTGGCATAGTGATTGTCCCTTTTTTGTCCTCTCTTCCTTTACTAACAAATCCTAACATTCAATTTTGTCTTTTTACTACCACTCTGAGGATTCTCGAGCAAACACCCTCTGGTTCTGGCAACTTTTCATTTATTGATTCTGTTTTCTTTTCGCCTGACACTTCAATATGAGACGGAGCCTCTAACCTGCCTTCTGTGAAGCTGTCCTCCAGGATGGGAACCTCCCGAGGCTCTTTGTAGTGAATGTGAACACAGAGAATTCACATAACTTTGCTGATGTGACCTTGTGTTCCTGTAGGTGTTATCATGGCTTTCCACTGAAATTGCCAGTGTTTAAGCCCTTTGCTATTTTCCTTGTTTCCAAACAGGAAATTAAGTGTGCTTCCATGTGTGAGTGCACATGCTCTTTTGGCAGCAATGGGGACATGTTGGGAGAGATTGTTTTCGCCCTGTTTTAGACATTTATCTTCAGGTTGTGTGACAAGTTCCAGAGGACCCACTTGGCTACTTGGAGTAGGCAGCTGGTGCAGATAGAGGTGGATAAACCCCACTTGGGGAGCCTGGTTGGACTCTCCAGATTCAGTGTAGAAGCTGCTTCAGTGCTTGTTAATATAATAAGGAAAGTGAAGAATTGATGGGGGGAGAGATTACTTTGCACTGGACTTGTTTAAAAGGAGTTAAGAGAGTATGTTTGCACAGTAGTCATGGCAGCTGAGCTCCCAAAAGCTGAACTGAATGAATAGCCTTCGAGGTGGTATGGGTGGTCGGGCAATCATTAGTTCCTCACCAAGCCTCTGATCAGGTGATGGGTCAAAGTAGGGCTGAGGTTAAGATGCTCTTGAGGGCATGGAAGATTGCCCAACCTGTCCTGAGGCAACCACAACAGAGCAAGTCTGCAGCACAGAGAAGTCCTGTCTTTGGAGGACTCTCATCTTCTCTCTCTGCTTTGTCTTTCAGAAATGTAGATGGCAGCTGCTGGCTTTGAAGGACTTGCACCCGTCTGACCCTGCACAGCGCCTCCGATTGCTACCATGATCTTCTGCATGCTACTGTTGGCCACACTGCCTGAGCCATCTGGCACCGAAGTCAACCCTGGTAGGGAGCTGCTGGGCTGGGAGAGGACTCTAATCTCCCACCTTTCTTATGGTTGTTCTGAGCCAATCTTTGCCCTCTCGTGGTGAATGCACATAAACTTAACGAATGCATGTAAAAGTCCTAATTAATGTAGCCCCTGAATGTCCTCCTCCGGACTGAGTTGTCCAGTCTTCCTTGACATCTGTGCTGGAGTGAAACACTTCTCCTGAGTGTTCCAGGAGGGCTGAGGCGCATGGATGGACTCCTTTCTCTGCCCACACTCTGCAGGGGGGGTGTGCTTTCACCAGGCCTGTCTTGAGCTTTGGTTATCATAGAATCATAGAATTGTCTAGGTTGGAAGAGACCCTTGGGATCATTGAGTCCAACCATCTACCCTACTCTACAAAGTCCTCCCCTACATCATCTCCCCCAACACCACATCTAAACGTCCCTTAAACACATCCAGGGATGGTGACTCAACCCCCTCCCTGGGCAGCCTGTTCCAATGCCCGACCACTCTTTCTGGGAGAAATTCTTTCCTAATGTTATCTCTTCATGAGTTTGACCGCGTGGCCTGCACAACAAACCTGGCTCTAGACTATTCTTCCCTAATGTTACCTCTTCATGAGTTTGACCGTGTGGCCTGCACAACAAACCTGGCTCTAGACTGGCTCAGAGATACCGTGCTCGCTGTGGAAAGTAAATTACCAGTTAGTAAAGTGTAAGCCACAGCTCTCCAGCTGGCAAGAGGTGTTCTGGAGAGAGAAGTGTGGAAGGAAAGGTAGAAAACCCTACCTGGCACAGAGCTAGGGGGGAGACAGGGACATGAGCCTATAAGTCCCTGTGGAGGGCATGACCTCTTATCCTGAGGGATTTGGCAAGTTATAATCATGATGGAGATAAGTAAGATAACGGTCTGCAATATATTGCAAAAATCTCTGCAATGAGATGGTTTGAGCTGGAGAGAGTCTGTGAAATAAATGAATCTAATCCTTTTCCAGCTTGGCTGAAGGGGTGGGGAGGCAGCAGCGTTCTCCTGAGGGCCTTCCTTGGCTTGGCTGGGTCTGGCTCTCTTTGTTTGGAGCCCTTTGGCTGGCTCTGACCCTGCTCTGGCCTGTAGACACCTGCAGAGGTTTGAGGTTGGGCTACAACCAGCCAGAAGTGAAGTGAGATCTGGGAGGAGCTCAGCAGGCACCCCAGGGCTCCCTGTTAGGCATTTGTTATGGGGGTACAGCGCTGTACCCCCCCTCCCATGTCCAACTTTGAACTGGGGTTGCCACCTGGTTCTGATGGTTAAAACCTAGTGGAAGAAGAGGGGAGATGACAGCTAGAGAGTCAGGCACATGCAGGTTCCCTTTGGTGGTGGTAAGCACAGGAGGTGGCACACCTGAAGGAACTGGAATGGCTCCCCCCATCAGATGCTGGGAGGTGGGGTGGGCTCTGAGCACAGGGCTGTGATCCCACCCTCCTGCAGTTATGTTTTTTCACCAAGAAATAAGCTTGGAGCTTTGCTCACACTGCTCAGCTCTGCCTGTGACTTCCTCAAGCAGCTCTGCGTTCTCAGCTCCCTCTCTGTCTGAAGGGGCCATGCCCTGGTGTTCCCCCCAAGACTCCAGCACACCCATAGCCCTGCTGATGCTCCCTGGCTGTGATGCCCATGGGCTCCATTGATTATCTTGATCTGATCTGCTCCAGGAGGGTCTGAAGCACCTCTTGTGTTGGATTGTACTGGTCTGTGGTGGGACAGGTAAGAGTGAAGGCAGTTGAGGCTAGTTTGGTCTACTGAACTTTGGAAGGCAGCTATGCTCACCACTATACCCAAGTTACAGATGATAGGACAAGGGGTAACGGCTTCAAGTTGCGCCAGGGGAAGTTCAGGTTGGATATTAGGAAACATTTCTTTACTGAAAGGGTTATCCAGCATTGGAATGGGCTGCCCAGGGAGGTGGTGGAGTCACCATCCCTGGAGGTATTTAAGAAACGTGTAGACATGGTTCTTCAGGGCATGCTCTAGTGCCCAAGATTACTGGTTTGTGGTGGGGTGCTGTGTGGGTGGGTGATGGTTTTTTGGTTTGGAGGTTGTTGTTGTGTGTTTAGGTGGTGGGAGCTGGTGTGGTTTTTTTTGTTTGTTTGTTTGTTTTTTGTTTTTTTTTTTTTGTTTGTTTTTTTGTTTTGTTTTTTTTTTT